ATACTTGTACTGTATAAAGAAATAATAATGGGTTCCAACACAGGAGTGGGTGGATTTTTAATTCCTCCAGAAGTCGACATTTGTGAAATTCGAATATTGTTATAGTGACTGCATTAAGCTTTCAAAACAATCTGATACTACTACGTTGAAAACAAACTGAATAAATATACTTGTACAATGGAGCTTTTATTTAGTATCTGTATATAATTGAAGAAGAAATATGTGGTAGACACCATTAAAAATAATAACTGATGCCTAGTTGTTGTTGTTAAGTGCAAGTGGATAATAATTATTCATTCATTAAACAACATTTATTTCCGTAAATGTTAAATAATATTTATAGTAAATTATTATTATAAAAAGAATATATGTAAATAAATTAGTAATATGAAAAACGATTAACTAGGATCTTTAATGGCAGATAAAAATATCTTTTCACGTAGGATACTCACAGAAACAACATAATTTAAATAAAAATATTAAAAAGGCAAATTATACGCCATGCTTAAAATATTGGAACCACGCTTCAAAAAAATATTAATGCAAATGCATGGTCAATAAACAGACTTAGCCTGTCACTTTCTATGTACTAAAATAGCAATTGTTTGTATCCACCCTTTAGAATTTTGTGCACCACCTTTAAAATTTTGAGGACATTTTCTGAAATTTCACCATTCTTTAAAAATCCTGGTGAAAGTGTTGCCATGAGGAACATAAGACAATGAAGAGGGTAAAAACAGTTCCATAATAACAATACTGTCCCTAAAGATAAAAATTGACAATGTTGAGGAGAACCTCAGACGACAAAAGAATTCCCCTTAAAATATGTTTTAAATGTAGTAGTAGTATCCGACGACAAGCAATCAAGAAAAAACTAAACAGGAACAACTCTCTCGACACGAAATGTTTAGTGCATCATACAAACGTTTAAATACCTGCCTCTGACCAAAGGGCGTCGATCAGTGGCTGAAAGTGGGGGGACGAGATGAAAAATAAAGCCTTGGGCCGTAGGCCCAAACAATAGTTGGGGACCAGGGGGCGAAGCCCCGGAAGCTCTGGCGCATATAGCCTTTTAATTGATTTTAAGCAATGCAATGAACATCTATTTCCATACGAAATTTTTAAAACATCCAGTGGCGGATCCAGTAATTTGAAATAGAGCTGGACCCAGAGAGGGACTTTTACAGATGGAGAGTGCAGCTGGACTACCACCTCAGCCCCACCATGGTTGGGTCTGAGGTAAGAAAATGTATGATTATGACACCATTTTCCTTTGTTTTTTTCCATTTTAAAAAATAATTTTGAAAAAAATTAGGGCCGGCTCGGCCCCACTTGAATCTGCCACTGATTATTATGGCGTCATTGCGAGACTGCGTCAACGTAACACTGGAGTTTGTAAACTTTTGGTAGGCTTATCACTTAATCGAAATAGGGAGACATAGAAATTAGAAAAAACAGTAATCCTACAGTATGGTATGTAGATAATATTAAACACTAGTATATACGTACGGGTCATAATAATATAAAAAAAGAATAAATCGTTTATATTAGAAATTTTGCACTTTTGAGTTTGTAAAAATATTGGCCTAATAAGGATACATGCTTCCAATTTCAACAACGTTCAGTACATTGTTTTCACAATAAATTTAGCCTCTGATAGTCGTTGCACCCATAAAATCGATCTAGTGGGTTTCTGAGATGGTTACAAAATGTTTAAACAATTGCGTTTTTACTTTGTTTTGGTCCGGAAAATACGTACCGCACTTAGAAAAGTGAACAGACAAAATTCATGAGTTATGCGTAATTGTTATTATTTCCATTCGCTTGTAAAAGTGGGGTTTTAATTATAGAAGATTGGTGAAAAGTGGGGGGGGGGACAATCGATATCATGTCCAAAGTGGGGGGACACGTCCTCCTGTCCCCACCAATCGACGTCCATGCTCTGACCACAAGCAATCAAGACAAGACAATTTTAGTTTATTAGTTTATTTACAAACATTCAAATACAAATATTAAAAATATAAATATAAATACAAATATTGCAAGCAATCAAGGAAAGACTAGACAAGAACAAACCCAAGCGACACGAAAAGTTTAGTGTATTATACCATGATACAAACGTTGAGACCGCTACACAGCGGCCTTTGCTTCGAGATTTGAGCATGAAGGCAAGGCAGAAGCAGCTTTCTTAGCTACGTTTTTGTCCGCTGATCGGTTAAAAACGTATTTCATTTTTATTTTATCACTGAAAAACAACTACTTTAAAATGTTTAGCCCATAAATATGATGGTGTGAAGAAAACATTAAACAATATTTTAATTTGGACCTTCAAAAAGCAGTTAAAAAGAAATGGCTATGAAATTTTAGGGGGTGGGGGGCTAAAAGCTGTTGTAATGTAGTATTAAGGTTCAATAGTATTAACTTGCATAACCATTGGAATCGATACCCTTCACCCGATAAATGCCTTAAATTGGTTTGACAGTTTTAATGGTCAACTTGAGTATACAGATAATCTAATAATATAACTGGACATTGTATAACTTTACCCTAGTCAGTTGGACTTGGCCTTTCTTACACTATGAATCTATGATTGTCAGTTTTGAGCCTAAGCTCTGAAGTTTGTGATACATCTTAATTAGCAGTTTTTTGGTAAACAAGTTACTAAATCATAGAGAAAGAATTTCTCTCTGATCCAATCAAAAACTCTAAAAGTAGGCCTATGGGGTGACTTACTTGAGACACACCCCATTACCTAAAGTATAATAGGCAAACACCCCCATATCACTGAATCAGTAGTTTAGTAGTCAGTGTTCAGTAGTGAGTAGTGAGTAGTGAGTAGTGGGTAGTCAGCAGTCAGTAGTTAGATTCAATTTAGTAGTTAGGAGTACACAGAAAAAAAGTACAGAGCTGAGCTGACTCCACTCTAAAAGGGTTCTCTAACATCTGAAACCTGGAGTTTAGCTGATTTGTAACCAACGTACAGTTTGTGTGAATAAAAGTTTGCAGTGTACTAAAAGGAACTGTGTTATACTACTCATTAAAAGCCACCAGCAACTAACCGATATTTAACACTGTTTAGCCCCCCTCTAAATCCGCCCCTGACCTCGGTATACTGGTCCATTCAGCCCCTCTTGTAGACGATAGGAGTTGGTACTGGTTTACCGGGTACCTCAAATACAAAGAGACCATTAGAGGAGAAGCAAGCGATGGTAAGCGCTAGTCTATACTTCAATTGTTAGTTTGATCTGCACCGTGAATGCCTATTTTCTTTTTCAGCTGCTGGTGGTAATCTTTTTGGACGTGATGGTAAAGTTACGTGCAGCAGCAGTACAATTGATAACGGATGCAGAGGGAATCTGATTTGTCCACCTATGCCACAAGGTTGTGCCTGTCACGCTGGCTGGAAAGGACTCGACTGTAATACAGGTAAATCTATTATAATGGAAGTTGTCAATGCGATAATATAAAATATTTATTAGAATAATAATAAAAATAATAATAATAATAATAATAATAATAATGGTAATTAATATTATTATTATTATTATTATTATTATTAATGATAATAATAATAATACTGTATTCACGCTAATAATTTAATATTGTAAATTATTATAGCAATGAAAATACAATAATAATTGGCATAATAAGCCTATACTAAGAAAATGCCTAATACTAATAATAAAATGCGTAATACTATTAAGCCTGTTAATAATCCTAATAACAGGCCTAATAATAATTATAGGCCATATAAAAGCTTAATAATAATATATATAATTTATAAACAAATGCCCATTGCTTATATAGCAGTATATTTAAAAACAAAATTTATGATAATTATTAATATCGTTATGTTTTGTTACATTAAGAATGTGAACCTGGCAAGTATGGCACTGACTGTCTACAAGATTGTGCACCTGTCTCTTATACACATTAGCAATATATTTAAAAAAAAATATTTATGATAATTATTAATATCGTTATGTTTTGTTACATTAATAATGTGAACCTGGCAAGTTTGGCACTGACTGTCTACAAAGATTGTGCACTGTAGGCTGCTTTATATATTATATATAACTTTTTCAGAGAATGTGTCCTTGACTTTTGACCCTGGCCATTCAAAATTTTATCACTTTTAGATTGTGGTCATGGAACATTATGGCCACAATCTTTCTGATAAAAATTGTTGGCTGTATGCTGTTAAAAAAAAGTAGTTTTTTTCTATTTTGTAATCTTAATTTTTTTTTACTCTTTTCCCTTCGAAATTTAGTCATGGATCATTGTGACTAAGTTTGATGCAAAACTTATTGGCTGTAGGCTGTTATATAAACAAAGTAGTTTTTCGTCAATTGTGACCTGGAACTTTGACCCTGACCCTTAAAAATTTATTCACCTCCAAATATTTGGTCAAGAAACATTGTGACTAAGTTTGACGAGTTTCCAATAAAAACGTGGACTGTTCACAGACACACACACACACACCTACCTACACCTCCCACAGACACACACATATACACACACACGCACACAGACAGCTAAAAAAAATAAATAGATAAACATATCAATAAATAAGTAAATAAACAAACAAACAAACATTACCTCCGCGGAGGTAATAAACATGTAAATAAATAAATAAACATAATAATAATAATAAAAATAACAATATCAATAATAATAATAATATCAATAATAATATCAATAATAATAATAATAATAATAATAATAATAATAATAATAATAATAATAATAATTATTATTATTATTACCATTTTTACAACTACTATATCATCATTATTAAAGTAGGGAAAGGAGACACCATCGAAACCAAAGAAACCTGTTCATTTATTAGTGGTGTCCCCTAAATAAGGATAGGCCCTACCTATATTTAGAGAACACTAACTAAAAACGTAAAACTGTATCCCTAATTAGGGGGTTTGGCATGCATTCATACGACAATGGCATAGATGACATTACATATTTATTTAATAAAATTAAGCTTAATGTAATCAATAATTTGCAATGCAAATACAGCTGTAATTTTTTTAATGATTTAAGTGCTATGGAATGAATAGAGTAATGACTAAGAAATCAGGGTGCAGCTTACGGTATGAAATTCAATCGTCTATGAAAGTACACAGAAAAAAAAGGAAAAAAAATCCCATGAATGAGGGTCAAAATTGAAAAGAATGCACATCAGCAAGTATCACCAGTATCCGTAATTAGTATCAAGAAAACAATGATTTGACGTTAAATGTTTGGTTTAAAAGATGTGAAATAAAATGTTGTTTTTCTTAGTCCAGCCGTTGTAAAATGATTTTTTTTAAAAAGAGTGTCACCTAAATGGAGGCAAAATTGTGATGATTTGACCAATCTGTTGTTTTTTTTTTATATATTATAGAATGTGAAGCAGGCAAGTATGGCGCTGACTGTCGGCAAATTTGTCATTGTGACGCTGATCAGTGCGACCATTCCAGTGGCTGTAATGAGAACGCAACATGTCACACTGGCTACAATGGTACAAGATGTTTAGGTAAAAACATTAAACTTTAAATCCCAATAATTTTATTTATTAGAAACAAATAAACACGTATGTTCGAATTTCCTAAATTTGTTGTGATTTGTTTGTGGTTATAGTAAAAAGTACCAAGACCATATAGGCCATGTACAATAGGTCACTGATTGGATGAGTGCTCTGTGTTGACAAACAGATCCATTTTGAAAAGCTCTTTAATGTTGCCTAAAATTTGGCAAGTGAATTTATGAGACCATGGTAGCGCATGGATTTAAAGCGGTATCAACAATTATGTTCTGACACTTACATCCACCATCACTTGATTTCAGATTCAACCGCCATTATCAAAATAATTTGTGAGGACCGTACAGATAATTTGACGTGTGACTCTATGTACACGATACGCGTACTTACTGCAGTCTATGGCCGAATGCACCCTGGTGTGGTTTACTGCAATCACCAATATAGCACAAATTGCACGATGGACGTGTTTCAGGACATCTCTGGGATGTGTGATGGTAAAAACAGATGTACTATAACCGCTTCAAATAGCAATTATGATGACCCTTGTGAGGGTACCCACAAGTACTTGAACATTAAATATGAATGCATGATACTTTCTGAAGGTAATTCTAATTATCTTAAGTGGTGTACGTTAAAATGTCCCCAGAAAATGGCCCCACCAAAAAAGTAAAAATGGGCACAAATGAGAGATAGGTCAAAATGGCACAATGATAAAATTCAGTGATAAATCTGATTTAAAACTATTTAAATGCTGCAAAAATACTATCATTGAATCAATTAATCAACATAAATAATGCACTTTTTTAACTTAAATATTTTAGTTTTCTAAAAAGAATCTAACAATAATTTACTATTTATATTTCTTTTTATAGAAATTATATAAACATTAATAAAATATTCAATGGATTTAATTTTTAATTAGTAATAAATATTATTTTTTTAATTGTCTTTCTATTATATATATATTTTTTATTATATTCAATATGTGATTGAAATATCTGTAGTCATCAAAGTTATACTAGTGGCCACTTAGTTTGTTAAATATTTGTTTTATAAACTATGTATTGATAATGGGTCGATTAGGCTTGAGGTCTATGATAAATAAATGTTTCTATAAATACATTTAGGAAAAAATGCCACTACTTCTTTCCATCTGTTTCTGTTAATAACATATTTGTTTCTTGTAAATGACCTATGCACAATTTAATTAAACTTTTGAGGTATTTTCTTTTGTTTAATGTGCAATTGTACTTAAAACCAAAATAACAAAAACAACAATATAAGATTTGTCCACGTTTAACTTTCAGACAGTCCTACATCTTTCAGAGGGCACACCACTCATGGCAGAGTGCATTCTATTAATCATACGGCGTGTAGTGTGACAACAACTGATGGTAACGTACTTAGTACCAAATTAACATGGATCTATAATTCATACTATAGCTCCATGATAGTTTGTTTAGGCATGGAGGAATATGTTTAGACTAAACTTATTCGCCCATGATGGTTTAATTCATGTATCAGTCAATCGCGAACCCTGTTGGTAAAAGACGATGAAGAATGGTTGATGCCAGTTAGTTATACACATATATGCACTAATCCTTTATTTTACAGCACTACTGAGGTTATTGTAATGGAATATTTTAACTGGAAAAGTAGTTTTTGGAGATTTTTCAGATTTCTATACCAGAATTATTTTGATAAGGACATTCACAGTCATCCGCCATTATCACTGGTCTGGTTGTAAAAGCAATCTTCCAAGCCGACTCTCAACGAAGGCAAATTGTTTCCGGACAACGTGTCGAATGCATTCAATCCTGTTGAATTACCGAAATGAAAAATGGGATAACCATGTTAAAAGAAGTAATGATTTTTGAAAATTATCCTATGATAATTTTTTTTTTTAAATATTTTATCGATAAAGACTATAAATTAAGCCTATCAATACATTATTTTCAAAAAAAAGAACAAAAGAAAAAAAGGCCTACTAAACTTTCAGCAATGAAACATACGATTCAGACATTAAATTTAAGGAATTGTTTTACTGTAATAAAGCTCCCTTTTTGTTGTCTCCTTTGCTTATATACTAAAGATTTGTTCAGCTTTCGTGTTGTGGCTTATTTTTTTGCAGATTTTATTCCCATGCCGAATTTAGTACTCTGCCTATTTTTTCTTACTAAATTTGAATTCTGTCATAAGTTTTTTTTCTCTTATGATTCGGAGGAGATACACCCACTTTCTATGTCATAAATTTCTACCGGTATATGTTTTAACGTAATTTTTTAATCTATAGGTAGTATACCCAGCAAATGTAGTCTAAGGCAATGGATTGAAGCTACAAATATTGGCGTATGTTATCCAATCCAATCCAATCTTCGACTTACAAGGCGCATTATACAAGCCTAACGCCAATTTGAGGGAGTGCTCAGGAAAAAAGAAACAAATGGAGAAAGCTGAATACAAGAGAAAAAGCAGCAAGCAGAAAAGAGAGAACAGAAGAAAAACAAAACGACATAAAGAAAACATTAAAATGAACAGTCACATCATTGATTTCCAAATACGATCATCGAGATATACTATACGATTGAGCTATATGATCGTGCATGGTTCCAGTAACACATAGAATTAGACTGTTACAGTGTTAAATCACATTTGACCGTCAATATCAAAACCGTAATATTGTATCGTACTATTCGCTTAAGAATTATATAGAGTAAATTTTAGGTATATTTTATAAGAATTCTAAATAAGTTTTGTGAATAATATAAAATTTGATACTAAACAATGACATGGCAGCAGACATAGGCTAATCGTAACATTAATTTGATGATCTTAATTATTAATTAATTTAATTGAAAGATGTTTAAACAATTAATTAGCCACCCTATCAATCAATCAACTAAATAATCAATCAACCAATCAAATATATCAATTAGTCAATAAACCAATCAATTATTGAAGCAATACATTTTAGCTATAGAAAAAATAGAAGTCAAAATCATACCAACAATTTTATTAACAACCAATAAAAATATTACCTAATAATAATAATTAGTTTATTGATATTATTATCACTATCATTGACATTAATATTACTATTATAATTAGGCCTATAATTATAAATTGTATTATTGTATTGATGTTATTGTTATTATTATTATTATTGTTATTACTATTATTATTATTATCATATTTATTATTATTATTATTATTATTATTATTATTATTATTATTATACGGTATAATAAAAACAATCAACAATCTTATGCATGAGTTTGAAGTCCTACTTATGGACAATAAATAGTGTTCCTGTACCCTAATAGTAACCCATACTCTCAATTTAACCCACCCTAAAAACCAACCAGGTGCTTTACTGTATTTTCAGTATATCTATGATCATTGAAACCCGAAAAATATAACAAAATATTAATATAATCTAATAATATACCAAAAATGCCAAAATGATGTCCATCTTTTGATATATGTTATTGAATTTATTATGAGTTTTAAATAATGTACAATCAGATATGTTTTAAATGATTCTTTTGTGTTATATTACTGGTAGCTTAATATAATAATCAAGTTTTGTAGAATAAAGAACCATACAGTTATTAGTTTATAACCGCTCGGCATCCTTTATAATAATGATATTTATTTTCTCTTGATTTTTAATAGTATGATATTAATATAATAGTAGAGTTTATAATTCTGATTGTAATTGCAATTTATAATCACAATTCACAATTAATTGTGTTGAATGTGTTATGATCTATAATTGGTCGGTCTTGTTTTTTAGTATAATGATTACTTCGTTTATTTTTATTACCATGATGGTGGAATATATAATTGAAATTTGTAATGTTTTAAATCGCTCGGCCTTCTTTATATTCATAATAGAACTTTCTTTTTTAAAGTTTTTAGTAGTAAGCTATTAAGTTTATAATACTAACATTAAGTTTAAAATGCTAATAATAATGAAAATTTGTATGATATTTTATAGTTTGGTTTATAATCCTCCGGCCTTGTATTTTGTATGATATTTTTTTGCAGTTTTTAGTTTAGTTTAGTAAAATATTATGCTACTAGAGTTTAAATTTATACACATTGTAAAGCCGCATTATGTATAGTCTCATTGCGCAAATGAATTGTTTTATAATACTTATTATGTATTATTAAATAAACCGATTTATTTTTTGTTT